TGAGAGAAGATGATCGCTGCGACTCGCATCGATGGCTGCTGCAGCCGATCCGCGGCTATAGTTACTAGAGCTACTACTAGTACTACTATGTAGTGAGCGTAGTGCTGTCGAGGGTCTATGTCCCCCGGGCGGTACTGGCCGGAGCGTTACCCCTGGTACTGTCCGCGGTATACACGGAACTCTCTGGTACTAATGCTATAATGCCGAACCGTAACCTCGTCTTATCACTAACGAGTCTAGGGAGTCGCTACCGCCTAACTCCCTACCGAACCCAAAACCCTAAAACCCTAATCTTAACCTAAACCCTAAATCCTAACCTCTACCATATTAAAAGTGACCAGCGGTACGTTTCCGGTTTATACCGGACCGTACCACATGCGTACGTTCCGGGCAGTACCCTGGGGGACATAGCCCTATGAGCAGTAGGCCTACTTAGTCACTCAGTACTGCTGAGAGGGTCTATGTCATAATATCCCCCGGGGTACTGCCAGAACGTACCCTGGGTAGGTCCGGTAATACCAGAACGTTAACCCTGGTACTATACAATTATGGCCGGACTGTACCTACGCCTACTTCCACTAACGAGTCTAGGGAGTCGCCTAGCCTACTCCACTAAGAGTCTAGGCAGTCGCCTACAACCTACTCCACTAACGAGTCTAGGGAGTCGCCTACGCCTAACTCCCTTAACCCTAACTCTAACCCTAACCTAAACCCTAACCCTAACCCTAACCCTAACCCTAACCCTTAATTCCTACCCTAACATATAAATAGTTACCAGGTACGTTCCGGCGAGTACCCTGGGGCGACACTAGACCAATGAGCCTAGTACTAGTAATACTACTGACTACTACTAGTACTGAGTAGTAAGTACTAGTAGTAACTGAGCTGCTCGTAGAGCGTCTATGTCCCCAGGGTACTGCCGGACGCTACCTGGGTACGGTCCGGTTATACGGATTGTACCCTGGTCATTATTTGATATGGTTAGCCGTTAGAATTAGGGTTTAGGGAGTAGGCGCTAGGTGACTCCCTAGACTCGTTAGTGAGTACGGGAGTACGGGTCGGATATTGAGATAGTACCAGGGTACGCTCCGGCGTACCCCGGGGGGACATAAGACCCTCTCAGCCTAACTAGTAGTACTCAGTATACTGCGTGCCTGAGAGGGTCTATGTCCCCCATGCCAGGTACTGCGCGAACGTCCCTTGCCGCGCTCCGGTATATCGCGAACGCTACCTGGTACTGTCTAACATGCCGGAACGTACCCTGGGTAGCGGTCGCGCGCTATGACCGGAACGTACCCTAGGTACGGTCGGTATACCGAGAGTACCCTGGTTACTATCTAATATGCCCGCCGTACGCTACCTCGAGCCTACTCCACTAACGAGGTCTAGGAGTTGCCTACGCCCTACTCCTAACCTAACCCCTAACCATATCAAAATGTAGTTTACCAGGGTATGTTCCGCAGCAATGACACCCTATTGGGGGGGGAGGGGGGAAACATTAGGACCCTATTGCAAGCACAAAGAAACTTTCAGTTAACTTCTTAGGCCCACTAGGGGCCTAGCAGTTAGCATTCAGCAGGGTGAATGATCTGAATGAGCCTACGCAAGCCCATGGCATTCAGCTCTCTCAGAACTATAGCCTTCGCTTCTGCCCACATGGCCACAGCTGTATAGCACAAACTATGTTAAAACTGGCGGCAATGCGAACTGCTCCCACGCTCCCACTGCTCCTCCACAAAAAACGGCTCACAGAACACGCAAAATGCCCTTTTAACGTTATTATCTACATCGAGTGATCAACCTCTTACCTATCTTTTTGAACACTTTTCACAACTTTACACCATGCATCCCTATGATCTAATTAGATCTATTCATTTATTCCTCAAACTCTGGAACTTCAAAGGCTTAGCCCTACTTCAACTGCTGCAAGTTCCGCATTCCCGGTTATCCGAAATGTAGCCAAAAAACATGGAGCGGCATTACTCATGGATGGGTTGGTGTAACTGCACTTTTATTTTTATCATAATTAACATGTTGATGGCAACCTTGTAATCATGCCGCCATGCTATACCCACACACCTATGGAGTAAATGTGCGCTAACCCTCGTTTTTTCTTGTGCATCCGTTCCTCGTGGGACAGAGAGGCCAAGTCAGTCGAGTTTCCTTAGCCCAAATGCCCAGACGGACTTTTTTGGTCACACCAAACCCACACCTTTGCCCAAAAACCACACCAAATCCACCAAAATCGTCTGGTGTTCGGTCATTGGTCAGAGGACAACTCGGACTAGGAGCAGTATGGCTTGCCCAGTTTCAACATAAGTTTGCGCTATAGCCCTTGTGGCAGACGAAGTGCGCTATTGCTTCTAGAGCCTACGCGCGGGCCATAGTACATTATCGTCCGGTTTCACACTACCGACTTTATGTTGTCAAATGCGCGAGTTGGACCAATTCGGCCAACACTGAGTTGGCAAAATAGAACTGTAATAGAGTCTCCCAACTAGTTGCTCTTGGACCCATTGCTCGCGCGCTTTTGGTTTACACTGCCGCATTGCGTTGGTATAGTTGCCGGAAGTTGGTATCCAATTTCGCCAATTTAAGTTCTGCATAAAGTCGTAGCTAGTCGGTGAAGCCTCAGCACTTAACAGTACACACACGCTAGACGAGGGCGTCAGGTTGCAGCAGTGCCACGTCGTCGACTCGGTATCAACCAATATTGGTGATGCACTGCCATACAGAAAAGATCATTCATATATGTCTAAGTCATATACCAGTCGTGACATGCAATCCTTCACACTCATAGCCACAGCATACTGCCTGCCACACATTTATTGATGACATAGGCCTTCTTGCATTCAGAAATGACAGAATATTATTAAATACAAGTATATGCACCCCAATTTCTAAGGGCATACATGCAGGCCACTTGTATGGCTAACAATCTGCCATGATTGGCGTTAACATAGATCCATAATCCTATTCTGCCATTTGACGTTAAATCTTCGCTAAAGTACTGCAGTTTTAAGATTGATATCGCGGTTAATTCTTTATCATGACAAATTAGCTTTTATCCGAGTCTCTCAGTTTCCCCACCTTGCCAATCATTTTTTACTAAGTTTCCATGCATTTACATGCAACAAACTTAATGTTTACTTTTAACTTCTGGATAGCGTGTCCCTGTGAATTCTTGTGTGATGGAGCCAGTTATCAGCTAATGCGAAAAACCACTGCTGGTGAATTGACAGGTCAATCAAAAACAATGCAAGACAAGAATCTGATCCCAGTTAAAGGTAAGCACATGCTACAGTATTTCGCTGAGCAAATAGACATAATAGGTTGACAGGCGAGGGGTATAATTACTACAGATTATAGGCGGCTAAAACATCAATCTAACACAAAACAGAGTATAACTGTTAGCCAAGGAGATAAATTCTCCTACCCTCCTTCGCCTATTTATGTCCTCTACGGGCTCCTAGCCTGGCTCCGATACGTGCAGCGCACGACTGCACAATAGACACGCAATCTCTTCGCCGCTTGTCTTCGTCCTTCTTCCCGCATTTGCGCCACCTCATATCTATTTCACTTAAATGGGAGATGTTATATCTAGGTGTCTAGGGTTATTTCAGTAAATTTAGGTTATAATTTACGCTACATAAAAAGTTTCATGTTCAATACACCTTTAGAAATAATTATTAAAAAATGTTTTAAAACTAACCGACTACAGTTTGATTACCAACCGACGGCTGGCCGCCACTCAGCGCACGATCTGATAAAGTTTCGCGCAAAACCACTTTCCAGCCAGGCGTTACAAACCGAAGGGTGTTTCTTATTTATTCATTTAAAAGCAAAACGGATTTGTACTATCTTATAAACGACATTATAGTTTCAGTTATAATATGGATAAATTTGCCCTAAATGATATCGTTCGTTAAAATAGCATTTATGTATAAATATAATTGCACTTTTGTGATTAGCCCTCGGTCTGTAACGTGCAAAATAAATTGTCAAATACGCAACTTTTTCGGGGTGGCAGCACGGTCGCGGGTGTTGTGACGCCGTTCAAATTTCGTAGCGTTGATGTGTAAATAATTATAACAATTAAATTAGGTATCTGGTAACAAATACGTGTGGGTATAGACGATTCGTTATACAGTAAGTACAGTTGTATGCAGTAAAATCCTAGAGGCTACTGTCCCTTTAACCTTATCTTGCTGAACAGTGAAAGCTATATGTTTCGTTTTGATTTTGTTATGTGGATTCCCTTAATCTTTCTTCAATAAAATTCACTATTTTATTAGGACAACTTGTGGTGTATTAAACCTCATTTTTGTTTACAGGATCCAGAGCTCAATACACTCCCCCGTGCCTCTGCTTTTGCATCAGAATGTCCAATGTCCACGGCGGAGAGAACAACATATGCCAGTGAATGTCCAATGAAACAGGCTGAGGAGGGATGCGACATTGATCCGTCTAACATGGTATGTGTCAGCGCAAACCAACAATAGCAGCATATGAAGCTGCGCTGTCTGCTCGAATCTAAACACTGCATGAAGTTGTTTTTTCTCCTATATGTGTTATTGCAAATTATTCGAATTTTACCCATTCATTTTCTTCCCTGTAGATGCCGCCACCAAACCAGCGACCAGCACCTGACCAGCCGTTCATGTTGGATTTGGGTCGGCAGGTGTCCAGCATCCCGCGCTCGGGTGCAGACGGTTACTGGACCTATCCCTCCCAGCAGATGTTCTGGAATGCTATGCTCAGAAAAGGTAAGACCATCTTCAGATGAAATAGACGCTACCACTCGAAACAAATAACTCGCAACTGTACTTACGGTGCTTGCCTCGCATCTGACACGTCGTTAAGATGAGCTCGTTTGCTTGTCTTGCGGTGATCTTTCTCGTCTTCAGCACAGGAATCGAAAGCAAATTTCTTCTATTGATCTTAAGAATGCTGGTACTCCTACAAGGATAAAACTAATAGTCACCAGGAAAATTTCGACACTGGTATGTAACATAGTGAAGCTTCTCCCAACGATTACGACTAGACCTTATTATTTCTCACGCTTGTGTTGTCTCTCGAATGCATTAACATTGCTAATAATTCTGCCGGATAGGATGGCGGTGGAAAGAGGAAGACCTTTCTTCAACGGACATGGCACACATCATCCGCATACATAATGTAAACAACGAGATCGCTTGGCAGGAGGTGTTGAAATGGGAGGCGCTACACGCGCGGTAAGGGCAACTCACAACTCACGACATCTTAGCCACTCCACAAAACAGTTCATCTAAATGCAAATGGTGTATTGCGCTTTGCAAATGCTTGAATTGACCAATTACTAATGTTTAAAAAAAAATTATCCTCTAAAGTCGGTGCATTTTTGTGTCATTAGACCGTTACTATTAAGTTTTGCTATAGAAGATTTGATTTTATCAGGTCTTGATATCTGTTGTCTCCATTTACTTCAGTGAATGTTCGAATCCAAAGCTCCTGAAGTTTGGAGGAAAGGCAAAAGATTATTCTCCAAGAGCCAGAATGCGACATTGGCTTGGGTTAGTACGACCGCTGCTGCATCCTTAAGCTTGCCGTAATTTGGCTAAAATATCGTGCTAACACAACCCGGAGTGTTCACACGAGAATCGAGCTTAATCAAGGCTTAGCTGGCTAGGTATAATATAGACTGGTACCCGGTCGACAGTTCCACACGCTACACTAACGTCGTGTAGCGAACGGGTACCAGTCTAGGTAAGTGCACTACAGTTTCGCAATCCGAAATTGCGTTCACACGACAGACAATACGCGGCCAGCGTGGTGCCGAATATACGCGGCTTATTCAGTACCGTACTGAAATACGCGGCTTACTCAGCGCGGTGAGTAAGCCGCGTATTTCGGTACGGTACTGAATAAGCCGCATATATTTTTACCGTGGGAACTCTCAAGTACGGTACTGAAATCCTCGTGTGAACGCAGCTATAGTCTCTGTCATTGTTCAAAAATAATCACCAATATTAAGCCACTATGCTCATTATCCATCATACGCCAAAACACACGAGCAAATGAGATGCAGGTTAATCCCTAGGTTCCGCAATAATTGAAAGATAATTAAAGTAACTAATGTGTAATTAGCAAGTAATTAGTCAGGGTTTTGGCAGGTACGAGCTTCCGTTCGACCGGCACGACTGGATCGTGGACCGCTGCGGCACGCGGGTGCGTTACATCATAGACTACTATGATGGAGGCGAGGTGGATTCGGCGACTGGTCAGTTCTGCCTGCTGGATGTCAGGCCGGCGATGGACTCGTGGCAGAACATCTGGGATCGGATGACGGTAAGGGGAGCGTGCGCATTGCTGATGCTACAGCGTCGGGAAATGTCTGCGGTGGACGGAGCAGGCAGGCATGAAGGCTCAGCATATATGCTCAGTGTATATATATAAATTAAACAGTCCATTATTTAAGCCAGGCGCCCCGACGTCAGAAACAAAAGTCGCAACGTTAGTGTTAACATTACCTTGTTCTCGTAGATCGAATCGCTATACACTGCGTAGAAGAAACTCGTAACTTTACCGTATTTCTGTCAACTGTCTATGATGAAAAGTTAATGTTAAGGCTGTTTTTTCTGATAAGGGCCCCCAGGTTTTGGCAGCTACGTCTACATTGGCAGCTTGTCAGCGAAATAATTCTCGTTGGTAAATTAGCGCATTTTCTTGGCACCAGGTGGCGTGGGCGAGGTGGACAGTAAGCGAGCAGCAAGAGTCTACTCCCATTCCGAAGCCAATCACAGAAGAAAGCACTAAGTCATAGACAGAAGTTGGTTAAGCGATCATTCGCGTTCGCCCCCCCCCCGTGGAATACTTTTGTATAATGTCAGGCTCTGAGATTGATACCCGACCACCTCTCGTTAATATTTATGAAATACTGTTATACACCAAAGGTAGTCAAAGCACAAATATGCCAAGATGCAGTGTATTGCCGAACATTTATCGGTGGTGTTCGTTTCACGTTGGTGGTTGTAGTAAAGGACGATTTTTATATTAAATACTTGTATGACTGGCAGTAAATATTGATCAGTGTCAGACCATTTGATTGTTAATATTAAATATAGATGATATAAGCAAAATTTGTCATTGTTAGAACTGATGAATTTTTCATATTAGTTGTTATAGCAGTGACATGTGTTTTTTTACTGCTTTCTTGCATTCTTTTGCTCAATACACTACTGTCTCCCTACTTTTTCTTATCACTAGTTTCTACCTCTATTAAAAGTTTCTACATCTCAACCTTCATTTGATTTGACATTAATGTCATAGTGCACTAGCTTATATATTCATTAGAGCTGGTACAATTAAGTATCTAGATGATCTAAATTTCATTTTGTGGATCTTATATAATAATTGTAGGCTATAATAATTTGATCTGATTAACTTCTTCTGGTACTGCGAATACTCCATTAGTAACGAATGACGAAATATATCCCTTTTTACATGTCATACAATAAAAAATAATACCCCATATATGATACATCTATCTATATATTCTGATATATATATACATATATATACAGTGGCGTCCGCAGATAGAAGCACTGGAAACACAGTTGGGGGTTAATTTTGGGTTAAACTATTTTGTTCCTACATTTTATTCCTAAATCTCTCTCGCAAGACTCACCAGATTGCATCTCCAGCTGTCTACCATTCAAAAATTTTCAGGGCACATGCCCCCAGACCCCCCTAGCATGCAGTGCGCCGACGGCGCTTGCTTTTTATTATCACTGAGGATTTTATCCTTCTGTGCTATATATATATATATATATCAAGAGCGTATAAAGAAGCGTATTATTTATTTATATAATATATTATTTAGCAAATAATATATTATATAAATAAATAAAACATTATTTAACATATAATATATTATTTATTTTATAAAGACATTATTTAGCAAATAATGACTTTATACGCTAATTAATATATTATATAAATAAATAATACATTATTTAACAAATAATATATTATATAATAAAATAATACATTATTTAGCAAATAATACATTATTTAACAAATAATACATTATTTAGCAAATAATACATTATTTAACATATAATATATTATATAATTAAATAATACATTATTTAGCAAATAATACATTATTTAACATATAATATAAATAAATAATACATTATTTATTATATAAAGGCATTATTTACTTACTCCCTGGCAGTACCCACTATACTCACTACTCAGGGAGACATAGACTCTATCAGCAGTACTATACTAGTACTATTAGCCATAGAGTAAGTAGTACTAGTAGTATATCCCTACCTACTATCCCTAATAGTAATACCCCCCTAATAGTAGTACTATAGTAGCTATCACTATCACTGAGTATCAGTATCACTACTACTCAGAATACTAGTACTGCTGATAGGGTCTATGTCTTCCTGGGTACTGCCGGAACCACAGCTAGGCACTTGAAGCGTTTCAATAAAATATAAAGCTAACTAAATACGAAATCTATTTACTTAGTACAAAATTCTTAATGTTTCTATGCTATAGGCCTACTCTCTTTCACCTATTATCGCCTATAGTTTCCTACCATTGCATTACCGGCAGCCATTGCTCTCGCGGCGCGACTGTTGCACGCTTGCACTAATATATAGAGTTGAGCACTGAGTACCACCCCCATGCTATAATTTAAAAGCTTGGAGAATTAACCCTGATATATATATATATATATATATATATATATATATATATACTATACTATCTTACTTACTTACTACTAACTATACTAACAACTAATAATAGTAGTAAGTAAGTACGTAACTAACTAACTACTTACGTTACTTACTTACTTACTTAGTACTAATA